TCGGAATTGAGCTGGTTCATTCGGTGCGCGCATACTCTCAGGACTGGAGCGGGGACGGCCCCAGCCGCCACCGCGACAGCCCCATTCCTTCGAGTATGCTGCACCATCATCAGCCCCTTTCCGGAACCCCTTCCCTCCCACATACTCATTTAAACCGGATGGAAGATCCATCCCCCACCCTTGTGGAGCCCGCCGCGGAACCCAGGAAACATCCCTAGCCGCACTCCCGAGCGGGCCTCGCGGCATCAAAGAGTATTGGCCTGACAGATCAGAGGGTGCAATTTCTTACTTGCTCCCCGTTGCCGACTATCTGCCGCCTCTCGAAACCAGGTGATCCACTCGCTGATAAGGCCAGGGATCCCCAGAGACCGAGACATACTCCACCGGGTGTTGTCTCGTTAGTCGCTCTCGTGTAAAGGGATTAGACCATACGTGTTCGACTGTGAAGACTCCATACCATGGTCGGCTGCCTCACTAGGCTAACGAGTCCGACCTCCCGGGATTTATATTGGGTTTTCCTTCCCCTCGTTCTGATGTCTGGCTCTGTCAGACTGACAGGCCCGATCGCCTGGGTTTATTAATTGGGGTTCTTCCTCCCCTAGTATCGACTGTCTGAACTGCCAGACTCATGAGCCCGAACGCCCGATTTGGTCGGAGTTTTCTCTCCGGTGTGGTTGCCTGAGGGCTAACGAGTCCACTAGCCCAAGTTTTACAATGGGTTTTCCATCCCCTCGTTCGGTGCCTGGCACCGCCAGACTAACGGGCCCGATCGCCCGGGTTTGGTGTTGGGGTTCTTCCTCCCCTGGTATCAGTTACTTGTCCACGAAGCCAAGCTCTCGAGCCCGCGCCCGGGTTTGGTAACGTGAGTTTCCTCTTTGGAATAGGTTGCACTGAGGCTAACGATAGCCCGGGTTTTTATAATAGGTTTTCCTTCCCTTCGTCGGATGTCTGGCTCTGCCCGACTAACGAGCTCGATGCCCGGGTTTATTAATCGGGGTTCTTCCCCTTCTTCTTCTTCCCCTAGTATCGGGTGCCTGGACCACTAGGCTCACGAGTCTGAACGGGTATCGAGCGATGCCCGGGTTTGTTATCGAAAGATGCCCTTCTCCGGGTTTGGTATCGAGAGATGCCTTCTTCGATTAGGTCGCCCGAGAGCTGACGAGTCCACTAGCCCAAGTTTTACAATGGGTTGTTCCTTCCCCTCGTTCGGATGCCTGCTGCCAGACTAACAAGCCCGATCGCCCGGGTTTATTAGTCGGGATTCTTCCTTCTTCTAGTTTCGGATGCCTATACCGCCAGGCTCACGAGCCCGAACGCCCGGGTTTAGTGTCGAGAGATGTCTTCTCCGGGTTTGGTATCGAAAGATGCCTTCTTCGGTTAGGTCGCCTGAGTTCACTAACCCGGGTTTTTACCATGGGTTATTCCTTTCCCTCGTTCGGTGCCTGCCGCCAGGCTTACGGGTTCAATCGCTCGAGTTTTTACATTGGGTTTTCCTTCCCCTCGTTCGAATGTCTGGGAAACCGGACTCACGAGCCCGATCGCCCGTGTTTATTAGTCCCAGAGTTTTTCCTTCCCCCTAGTGTCGGGTGCCTAGATTGTCAAGCTCACGAGCCCGAACGCCCGGGTTTGGTATCGTAAGTTTTACTCTTAGGTTAGGTCGCCCGAAGGCTAACGAGTCCACTAGCCCGGGTTTATTAGTCGGGGTTCTTCCTTGCCCCTAGTGCGGATGCTTGTCACCAAGTTAACGAGCCCGCACGCCCGGGTTTGTATAAAGTTTTCTTTCCCTATCCCCCCGTGGCCCCCCTTGGTGTTCTTAGCGACCGTTCCTCTTCCCAGGGCCTCCCACAGCAAACAGGCCGCGGTACTGCCTCCAGAGATCATTGGACCGATCGGGCTCCTCTGCCACGACAAGGCGACACTATTACAATTATATGGAGGAGAATTGGTAGACCACATCCAAATAATGCACCATCTAAAAGATATCTTTTATTATTTATATTCTTGCCTAAAACAAGAATATATTGTTTCATATTGCATATTTTATATTTTCAGGTTGCTGCTGTGAAGACAAATACAGGCAGAATGATATATCGATTTGTCCTCACAGCAGCAACTTGAAAATATAAAATATGCAATATGAAATAATATATTCTTGTTTTGGGCAAGAATATATACAGGATGTCCCATTTTAATGTCCCACCCCAAATAACTCTTCAGTATAGAAGTTTCGAGGAAAATGATCTGAATAAAAGTGGTAGGGATTTAAATGAGCTACCTTATGATGACATCTTTAACTTTGACCTTGACCTCTATTTTCAAGGTCATTTGGAAGTCAACTTGCGTTTTTTTAATGGGAACCCTTATTTTTTATTACACTGCTTTTTTCTACTAGTTAATTTGAACAACTTTTGTTTAAAATATTTTTTTATTTGTCTAATATTTTTTGAGATATTTGGAGAAAGCTTGATAACTTTTTTAATATTTAACTTACGATATCTCGCTAACTATTTGTCGGAAGAAAAAGTGGTACTAGACTTTCTTGTTTTATTTAGTCTCAAGAATATATTGTTACAATAGCGCCCTGACTTTTGTTAACTTACTGACTTGGAAATTTCAAAATCATCAAATTAACAAAAATCAGGGCGCTATTGTAACAATATATTCTTGAGACTATATAAAGCAAGAAAGTCTACTACGATTTTTTCGTCCGACAAATAATTAGCGAGATATCATAAGTTAAATATTGAAAGTTATCAAATTTTCCTCAGATATCTAAAAAACATATTAGACAAATAAAAAAATGTTTTAGACAAAAGTTGTTCAAATTGACTAGTAGAAAAAAACATTGTAATAAAAAATAAGGGTTCCCATTAAAAAGACGCAAATTGACTTCCAAATGACCTTGAAAATAGAGGTCAAGGTCAAAGTCGAGGTCATCATACGGTAGCTCATTTAAATCCCTACATTTTTCCCTTTTATTCGGATATTTTTCCTCGAAACTTCTATACTGAAGAGTTATTTGGGGTGGTACATTAAAATGAGATACCCTGTATAATATTAGGTGTACAAATGAATAATCCAATTTTTTCAGCTACATTTAAAGTTTATTTTAAAAGAAAGTAAATTAAATTGTTCAATCAAAGTATTCGCCGGTGCTTTCTATAACTTTAAGCCATCTTTCAGGCAGCTGATGAATTCCATCTCGGAAAAATGTTACGTCTTTGGACACGATAAAGTCGTCAAGCCATTTTCGGATCTCACCCACTGATTGGAAGTGTATATCGGACAAGGCGTGTTGCATCGACCGGAACAAGTGATAATCGGATGGAGCAATGTCTGATGAATACGCCGGGTGCTGCAAGACGTCCCAGCCAAGACTCATTATGGTGTCTTTTGTATTGGAAGCAATGTGTGGCTTGGCATTGTCATGCAACAATTTCACTGGACGTTCTCCTTTGCCAGTATACGGGCGTTTTCGTTTCAATTCTTGACTCAAGCAGATTAATTGACGTTGGTAGCAGTCTGCAGTAACTGTTTCACCCGGTTCCAACAACTCATAGTAAAGCTCATAATAAAGCACGCCCCTGATATTCCACCAAATGCAGAGAAGAACCTTCTTTCCGAAGCGATTGGGTTTGGCGACCGATTTTGATGATTCGCCGGGATTTACCCATGACTTTCTGCGTTTCGGATTGTCATAGAGTATCCATTTCTCATCGCCCGTAACGATTTTTTACAAGAAAGACTTTCGACGCTGTTTATTGAGAAGAGAAAGACACGCTGCCACTCGTTGATTTTTGTTGGTTTCAGCGAGTTCATGCGGAACCCATTTTCCTTCTTTCTAGATCTTTTCCATCTCATGTAGGTGTTTGGAAATCGTTTACTACGTTACTCCCAACTGTTCTGCAGGCTCTTTTGTGTTTGTGCCGGATTCTCAGCGAGCAGATGTTCCAAATTATTATTGTCGCACTTCGAGGGCCTCCAGGGCGTTGTTTGTCGATTACACTGAAATTACCACTTTTAAACCGCTTAAACCAAAAAGCGCACACATCGTACGATACAACACCTTCGCCGAGAAAGGAACAAATCGATTCGCACACTCTTGCAGCATTTTTTTTTTGTTGGAATTTGTAAAGAATGCAGTGTCGGATATGCACCTTATTTGTTGCCATTTTCGACTGTACTGAACTGAATACTTTTGAAGGTTATGTTGGACCTTTCGCCAAACTATATGTTCTTTTTAATAGCTATATGTCAACATTGCATAATCACAAAAGAGCGGGAAAATCTATTCAATTTAAAATTGATTTCATAACTGCTTAAAATAATTTTGATTATTCATTTGTACACCTAATAATAAAAGATGTCTTTTAGATGGTGCATTACCTGGATGTGGCCTATCGATTCTGTTTCTGCTTAAGGCTCCTGTGATGCGATTCTTTAACTTGTTATTAGAGTTAACGATAGTTTCGTTATCGTTGCGCAGCTTTTCTACGGTATATAAAAGCTGCGCAACGATAATGGGAGTGTCGTTAACTCCAATAACGAATTATAGAATCACACTATTGGTCACTTTGACTAGAACTTCGCATTGACAGTAGAGCCTCAATGTAAGCGGTAGGAATGAGAACCTTCTGCTGCGTATTCACTGCATGGTAAATGCGAGTAGGTTCTGTTCCGTGCTACGGTATAAGATAGACAAAGACAGACAGCGAGTCTATGGGCCGTATTCATAGTCGAGACTTATTATAAGGACGTCTTATGTTCAGACTTAAGACGCGCTCTAGTTTCATAGTCGACAAATAAGCAAATACTTGGGCAAATTCTCAAGTTGTGACTTGATCAAGACGATCTTATTGTAGAACACCTTATTATGTTTCATAAACGTTGTTTATATGACATAAGCACAGACTTAAGATATTCCTATTGCTTATTATTTCATAATCGTTTAAGAACCTCTTATATGACGTATATATTAGTAAATAAGACGATCTTTGTCAAGTCGGGTCAGAGGTGGACTTAAGATATAGGATCTGCTCCTAGGATAACCTCTTATTCGCCTATAAAATTACATACAATATTAAATCAATATTAAATCTGTTTCTTGTATGTCGGTGCGTGGCTCACTCCTTGGGTGTGTTTAAAAAGAAGTATCTAGGATTTCCTTAATGTTTCTTTAATTCGTGTCATGTTAATAGATATATTTTGACCAGCAATTGGCCAAGAACATTTTTATATTTTTATCGTAATAAATTTATCCTAATAAATAATAAATACATGAATAAGTATTTGCCCGTACATCGGTTTCGGGTTTTTATCGGCTAATTTTTATTTATACTTGATATTATTTACAGTTACAATGAATTTGGAAAATCTTAGAAATATTGATATTGAAGACATTTATTTTTCAAGTGAAGATGAAGAAGAAGAAGAAATTCAAGTGCGTGTTATTTAAAAAATATGTTATTTAAGAAATAATGTAAAAAAATATATTCGAGATGGCCAAAATCCCTTAGAATTTTATAATGGAAAAGAGTTTAAGAAACGGTTTCGCTTTTCGAAACAATCTGTTTTATTTGGAATATTACCACTAATAGAAGAAGGACTTAGAAAACCAAATAATCGGGTTTTACCGATATCCCCAATATTACAATTATTAATCTGTTTACGATTTTATTCGATAGCAAGTTTTCAGGTTAGTAATAAAATTATATTTTAATTAATAGTTAAATTAATAATAAAAAACGGAAAAAATATTGTTTTTAAATATGGTAAAAATAAATGGTAGAAAAATAAAATTTTTTTATCTTCGTAGCTTATTGTAGGTGATATATCAAAAGTATCCCAATCTACGATCTCAAGAATTGTTCATCGAGTATCAATTTTGATAGCTAGCTGTATAATTCGATACATAAAAATGCCAGTATCAGATGAAGCACGCTCAGAAAATAAATGTTTATTCAAAGTTCGTGGATATGGTCCTGAAGCTATAGGTCTTCCTTGTGTTGATGGAGCCATTGTACACATATTCGATTGGTACATACTAAATTTCAAGCTATTGACGAGATTTGTAGGAATCGAAAGGGCTACTTTTCCTTGAATGTACAAGTATGTAATTTTGTTTAGAAAATTTAAAAAAGTTGTGTAAATATTACTTGCGTCTGTTAGTTGTGTAAATAATATTTATTAATATTTACGCGCTTTTATATGTATACTTTTATGTAAATAATATATTTCAATCATTAAAATTTATTTCACATTTCTCTTTTTAGGCAGTTGTTGGACCACGTACAGAATTTTTAGACATAATCCCAGAATGGCCAGGAAGCGAACATGATAGCCGCATTTTTCAAAATTCGCGTATATATATACGATATAGGCAACAAGAACTTGATGGAATGCTTGTTGGAGATGCTGGTTATCCGGCTTTGCCGTTTTTACTTACACCTTTTGTCAATCCCATGATTGATGAAGAAATAAAGTTAGATAAATAAATTACAATTACAATAAACAATCATGTGATGCAGAGAGCACTAATTATCCAATAATGTTAGAAATATATCCTGAGGTTCTATAGATATCCTACATCCTAAAAATATTCTTTGAAGATCTCGTGTTATCTGTTGTGCTTGTGAAAATAATATTAAATTAAGTAAAATATTGCAATATATTTATATAAATAACATATACTTTATTGAGATACCATCCGACTCATGTAGCATCATAAAAATATAATAAAATATATTTTTTATTGTAGTTACAACATGATTCATGCAAGGACAAGAGGAATCATTGAGAGAACTTTCGGAATTTGGAACGTCGATTTCCATGCTTAGCACGAGGTCTTCAAACTAAATTATTAACGTCCACAACCATTGTCGTGGCATGTGCTGTTCTACATAATCTTTCTTTGATGTTTAACGATACTTTAGAAGAAGAAGAAGAAATAGAAAATATGAACGATGCGACGCTTCTTTCGCAGCGCCGACAAACCGCCGTCGGTCCGTGCGCCGCGGTCTTGCACCAACCGGATGTTGGGCGCCAGGTGCAGCGGGCTGCACCACTCACCAACGCGAAGTTTACCCGCGGCGCGCGAATCCGCCGGGTCCGGTAGCTCGGGGTTGATTCGAGTCGGCAGACGGGAAGGGTTCGTCGGAAATCGGGAGGCGGAACACACTAAGAAGGAAATAACCAAAACGGCCTATTTGGCGAGACTTAAATTTATTCGTTAATACCGGAAGACGGTAACCTCCGGCTCCTCGCGATACGGCACACGTGAGTTCGTTTCCGGTCGCTCCTACGCGAGGTCGACACCGCTCTTCATTTACAATGCGTTTTCACGGGACGCGACACTGGACGGTACACCGGAAAAACAAATGGCAGGTGGACGGTCTTACAGTGACGGGAACCTCCCGGCGGCGTGGTCCTCGATGGTTGACGGGTCGGTCGGTCCGGTCACACGGCCAGCGGCAGCTAGGTCCTCTCCGGGATCTTGGCCTTCGAGAATGCACGGCCCTCCTCCACTTTCCGGTAACGGTCGAAACTCCCCAATCTCCTTTCTCCTTCGCACGCGGAACACCCAGCCTCCTTTCTCTCTTGCACGCGGAACACCCAGCCTCCTTTCTCTCTTGCGCGCGGCACACAGATCCTTTTCTGGCGAGCGACGCACAAATCTCTCTCTTTTGCGAGCGGTACACAAATCTTTTCCTGTTGCGAGCGGTACACAAATCTTTCTCGTTTGCGAGCGGTAATTCGAATTCTTCCTCGTTCGAGGCCAAAAGCGAATCTGTCTCCTTTCTTCGAGGCGAAAAACTCAATTCCTCATCGAGAGAGAAAAACGGATCTTCCCGTCTCTCGTTTTTTTTCTGTTATTCCTTCTTTTCTTTTTCGTCCGGGAATCCTTCCGCGAATTCTGTTGACAATCTGCGGAACGGATGCCCTGTCTCGCTCGCTCTCTCTCGGTCTCTCTCTCTCTCTCTCTCTCTCTCTCTCTCTCTCTCTCTCTCTCGCTCACGGCGTCTCGCGAGCGTGGCTCTTTGTCTGTCTAGCCGTTGTTTTTGGCTAGCGACCTATGCGTCGAGAACGTGCTCGACGGTATATTACCTCGTCCGTGTTGTCGGGTTAGCCTGTGGAATAATACACGGCAGCGGTAATCATTGCGGAATTACGATAAACTTTCTGCGACGAGACGAGAAAAGAGCGCATTCACCTGAGCTGGCCGCGCCGGGCGGTGAGCGACGTCCTCGGCATCCTCCCTGGTCCTCCTGTCTGGGTAGCCGGCTCGGGAGGTCCATGGGCACAAATCTTGGGGACGCGCGACCGTCGCACCTGCACGCTCTTAATTCTTAGGGCTAATTACTTTGGGGGGGGGGCAATTCGGCTTCCCCCCCCCCGCAAATTTCGCTCACGAACCGAGGGTTTTTCTTATGACGGGCGCCCCCACGGCCGCCATGTCACAACGAATATGAAGAAGCTCCACTAATGCCTCATTGGCAACTTGGAGATGGCTTTGTGGTACGAGATGCTCTGATTCAACGATAGTTCAGATAACTGATTAATTTAATTATAATATTAATAATTATAACTCAATTATTTAATTAACTCATTTAATTATTTAATTAACTAAATTAATTAATAATTATAACTCTGAAAAACGTTTACTCGTTATTTTACAGCTGTTATATGTGTGATAGCATGTTTCTCATATTGGCTAATTAATATAAACAAAACTTGTGTGTGTGTGTATATGTCTATGTAATGTAATATAATGTAATATACATGTATATATAATAAAAGATATATATATCAGGTGTAGTAAAAAGAAATCCATTATTTTTTCATGAAATTGAAGGCTTTAATTACCATTGTTAGAATGATCCGATTTAGGTCAAATATGCGCCATTTTGTTCGATAACTTGTTGCCATTTTGAAGGTAATTTCATTATGCCTTTCTCATAGAAGCCCTCGTCCCTATTGGCAAAAAATTGAGACAGTCGATTTTCACAAGCCTCTCTTGAAGCGAATTTTTCACCAGCAAAATTGTTCGCCATGGACAGGAACAGATGGTAATCACTTGGTGCCAGGTCCGGACTATAAGGTAGATGCATAAGAACCTCCCAACCAAGCTCCCGGAGCTTCTGGCGAGTCACTATCGATGTGTGTGGCCTGGCGTTGTCCTGATGGAACACAATTCCTCTCCTATTGGCCAAAGCTGGCCGCTTCTGAGCGATTGCTTCCTTCAGACGGTCCAGTTGTTGACAGTACAGTTCCGAGTTAAGAGTCTTGCCGTAGGGGAGCAGCTCATAGTAGATAATTCCCTGCCAATCCCACCAAACACACAGCAAAACCTTCCTGGCCGTCAATCCTGGCTTGGTCACCGTTTCCGCCGGCTCACCGCGATTCGACCACGACTGTTTTCGCTTGACGTTGTCGTAAGTGATCCACTTTTCATCACCAGTGACCAACCGCTTCAGAAATGGGTCGATTTTGTTGCGATTCAGCAGCGATTCGCAGATGGAAATTCGGTCCATGAGGTTTTTTTTCGTTAACTCGTGTGGCATCCATACATCGAGCTTCTTTTTGTATCCAGCCTTATTCAAATGGTTCCAAACGGTTTTTTGTGCAATCTTTAGCTCTTGGGCAATCGAAACAGTGCTTACATGACGGTCGGACTCGACAATGTCCATGATTTTATCGATATTTTCGACAATTGGCCTTCCAGTGCGTGGTGCATCTTTGACATCGAAATTACCGGAACGGAATCGACGAAACCAAATTGCGCGTGATTGGCTGTTACAGTATCAGGACCATAAACACTATTCACACTTTCAGCCGCCTGGCTTGCGTTTTCACCTTTATCGAAGAAAAACTAAAATATAGCGTATTCTCTCTTTGCTAGTGTCCATCTTTGACGCGCGCTCAAACAAAACTGAGTCAACTAATCACAAAACAGCCAGAAAAGTTTTTTTAGTACGAAATCTCATCTTTCTAATGCCATCTAGTGGAACTCGATCGGACTTATACAACGCGAGATACAGGTAACTAAAGCCATCTATTGGAAAAATAATGGATTTCTTTTTACTACACCTGATATATATATATGTATATATATACAGGGTGTTTGAAAACTTATCATGCAGACGAAGTTGGAGATAAATTGGGTGTAGCCGAGAAGAAAAGTTATATACCATAATGTCAAATTGGCAATAGTTACCGAGTTATTAATTAAAACATGTGAGCCAACGAGCGCGTGGAGAGCGGAGAGTGGCCGCAGTAAGCATGTAGACGTTTGATATAGGCCGAGTCAGCGAGCGATAGGCGAGCGCGCGCGGCGAGGGGCAACGTAAACGACAAGAGGCGAGTGCGCACGACGAGGAGCGAGCGAGCGCGAACGACGAGGAGCGAGCGAGCGCGAACGACGAGGAGCGAGCGAGCGCGAACGACGAGGAGCGAGCGAGCGCGAACGACGAGGAGCGAGCGAGCGCAAGCGACAAGAGGCGAGCGAGCGCGACGAAAAGCGAGCGAGCACGAACGACGAGGAGCGAGCGAGCTATAAGGAAAAAGCTATAAAGAAAAAGCTCCCTCGCTCGCCTTTTGTCGCTTGCGCTCGCTTGCTCCTCGTCGCGCGTGCTCACCTCTTGTCGCTTACGTCGCTCATCGCCGCGCGCGTCTATCGCCACTCGCTGACTCCGCTTGTATCAAATGTCTACGTGCTTACTGCGGCCGCCCTCCACTCTCTACGCACTCATTAGCTCACATGCTTTAATTAATAACTCGGTTTTAATTAATAACTATTGCCAATTTGACATTATGGTACATGACTTTTCTTCTCGGCTGCACCCAATCTATCTCCAACTTTCGTCTGCATGATAAACTTTCAAACACCCTCTATATATATATATATAAACACGAAATGTCTATATTTCTTTAATATATTTATAATATATGTACTTATTCTTTGTTATATTTCTTAGTAATTGTTCAGTTTAGGGAATCAGTTTCAATAATCTTTATATATATTTCTTTAATATATATGTTTATTTAAATATAAAATGTTAAAAAATATACGCACAGTATTATACATTGTTTATATTTTTTATCACCCACAACAATCATTTCTCCATCATAAAATATAACAAAAAGTGATGAAACATAAAAGTAAGAATAATTACGTTAAATACTGTTGTGAGTACTTATTACGAACAAATATCACAAATACAAAACATTGTAATTAAATTTTATATACTTATCCTCAATTAATAATATTTAACATACTTATGAACTTTTTTTTTTGTTAACGCAGGAAAAATCCATCATGGATACCTCTGATTCTTAGGGGGGTCGGGGGTGATGTCGGACTCTTATCGACTAAAACCCTTGCGGGATGTCTACCAACCGGACCGTGATGAGGGCAGTTAGGGGAACTGCTCCCGTATTCCCTCCGAGCATGCAGCCAGTGTATGGTGCGCCGTGTCCTCCAGCACAGGGCAGTGGTGGCAACGGGTGGTGGGCTCCTTCCTGATCTGGTGCAGGTACCATCCGAAGCACCCATGCCCAGTCAGTACCATG